ATTCCATATAACTCACTATACTGCGCAACCAATTCCTAGAAACCAATGAATTTTTCGTATCTTTTTGTTTTCTTTATATTTTCATAAATTTTCATACAACGTTTTAATTTATCTTTATAAAGATATGTTTCTTATAATTTATAATCAACCACACGAAGAAATACTCGAAGTCTAAATGTGACTAAAATTAGGTTCTTACCATTCTTAAAAAGTCCGTCGAAACTCCAATTTTCAACTCAAATCTCCTCCAAGTTTCTTCACGTGAGTTATGCGGAATCTTTCATAGTTCAACATATAAAAAATTCAAAGCCTAACACCTAAGAGAACTCACAAATCTATGAAAAGATCGAGAATAAAAATCCGTAAATCATAGTTGTGAAGAGTTCTAGTCCAAAATCGGCTTCGAGCTGCTGATTCGAGAGGGTTTGTGTTCTTCCTCCTCAAACCTTAGCTGACGTTGACCGACTTTTTTTCTAAATTTTTATCATATTTTCTTAATAAAATTTAAATTAATTACGGTAGAAACTTGAGAATATAAATTTTAGAGCCATTTTCATTTAGTTTATTATTTGATAATTACCTGTTGGTTTCCTTTTTGCTTGAGAATAGAATTTTTAAAGTAAATATTTTAAATAATTTTTATATTCAATTTTAGAAATGTTTCTTGCGTATTTAATAAATTAAAAAGTAAAATAATGCTTTTTATTAATAATAATAATAATAATAATAATAATAAAAAGCTAATTAGATTTTGTTATTTTCAAACTTTTTAAAATGTGTTTATATGGGCACCAAGAAATAGAGATTTCATTTTTTTTTTTTATAAAAAAAAAAACTAAAAAAAACTAAAAATTATTTAATGAGAAATAAAATAGGACAAAAAAAAAGTATAAAAATAGAAAGTCAGTTAAGAAAATGCATAGTTGGCGGAGAGTTAGTTTGGCGCGAAGTTGAGAGTGGCGATCCGTATCCAACGGACTCTGTGTTCTTCATTCCCCTTTTTCTACCTCCTCCTCTCTTCTCCTCTCCTCTTCTCCACTACCGAAATCTTCCATTCAACTTTTCCAAGAACACAGATCGAGCTCACACAGCCGAGGGATCTGAGTTCCTCACCAGGAACGACGATTCCTCATTTTTCCATTTCTCCAGGCACGTCTCTCTCCCTCCCCTTACAATTTCAATCCAACTATTCCGCCGCCGATTCCATCATTTTTCTTTGTTTTTTTTTTTCTTTTCAGGTCGTAAATGCTGTTCTCTTCTCGCTGCCTCGCCGATGTTATACCTAATTTCACATCAAATCCTCTTCCACGGATCCACTGATACGTTCGAGTTTGTTTAGATTTCCCTTCTCCTTCAACGAGGTACTCCCGATTTCCCTCATTTCCCCATTATTTTTCTTTTGGTTTCCTTTTATGTGTAAATGTGAAATTAGCATGCCTCCGTTATTCACAATTTGCTGTTAAGCTCTGAAATTAGTGTTACCTTTTCTGATGATGCCAATAATTTTTGAAATAGGGACTGTCTTCCTCTGTAATCGTAATGTGATTGATTCTGATAATACTTGCAGCATTCACGGTATTATAGGTTTTTTCTTCTTTGTGGAGTGGAGATTTAGTGCTGTGCTACTCTTTTTTTTTTTTTTGTTATCGCCCCAGAGGTTTGGAATTTCAAAAGTAACACAATGGGTAGCTGTCCCTCGAAACTAAGTCGGAATCTCAAGGCATATAGGAAATACTCTTCACGATTTGGAAAACGTCGCAGTAAGATTACAGCTGCCATTCCTGATGTCAAAATCAAAGCAATCACTGATTCTCGAAGCCATGCAAGAGATTTTACTGTCAGTGAGTTTGTTCATCTCGATTTTGAGAAGGGAGGCGCTAATAACCGTGCAAGGTCTGAGGTATCTAACGTGACCTTCCATCTGAAGCAGCTGCAGTGGAACCATAGTCAAATTGATGCAAATGGTATCTTTGCTTCCGCTCTCAATCCTTGCAATCAAACTTATTATTATATTTATTATCCCATTATCGAGAAACATAAGATTGCACTGGACACTCATAATACTCCATGGATATCTAAAACTAAGCCTAGATTAATTTCTACATGAAGCTTTTACACGCTCAACTCCTCCCATGTTGGAAGGTTTAGATAGAAAATAAGATTTCTACTTTTGTTAAGCTGGATATATTCATCTGAGCAGTGAATTTTGAAATTGCTTCATCTGTAGGATCATGCCAAGATGAACCATGGTTTGACTCGGCTAGTATTTTGGTCTCTGATGATGATGAGGATGATGATGATTTCAGCAGTGTTCATGGAGGTAAAAGTTAAAACTTCCTTCTCCACAGCCAACAACTTCTTTCACATTTCATTCACAAAAATTGTTACATTGTGTTTTGAGATGGCAGATTGTTTTCCTTCAATTGGAAATGCCCCGAATGCTCAATTGCTTCAGTATGAAAGAACATCGTGCTTCATTGATAATGGAAGCACGTATGAAGGTTTCTATGAAAGTTATCTCAAAATTGATGGAGGTGCACAGAACTTTGAATATACGAGTCAGGAGTTCAATATGAATTCTTGCCTGCCTTGTTTGCCTCCTCCAGTTAGTTGCAATGAGAAGAATCATTCTTCTAATCCCCAACCGGCAAATATAAAGAAGTCCGCAGTTATCATGCTTTCTGTTAAGAGAAAATCTGTTGACGGATATGAAACAACTGAGTTTTGTAAGTAAACATACTAGTTTTGTAAGTCCCAGTGTGTCGATTACTCGGCTTTTATAGCAGTTTAATTTGTTGATCCACAGGTACGTCTGAGAAAATCTTATACCGTCCAAGAGCAGGACTTCTAATTCCATGTTCAAAGGGAGAAAAAATAACTCCATCGTCCTGGTCCACTCTTTCACCTTCTGTCTTTAAGCTTCGTGGTGAAAATTATTTCAGGCATGTTCTTTTTCACGTCCTTTAATTTCCCTATTGTGCCTATATTTTCAAGTGTTTAACTGTGTTCGTTTCTTCTTCTTTTCTAACTCTGAACACCTATTGTGTAGAGACAAACAGAAGTACCCTGCAGCAGACTTCAGCCCATATGTTCCAATTGGAGTTGACATGTTTCTCTGCCCTCAGAAGATTAATCACATTGCTCAGCATCTTGAACTTCCACATGCCAAAGCACATGAAATGCTACCATCCATCTTAATTGTTAACATTCAGGTCTTTTGATTTTCACAATTTTTCTTGTCTTTTCAGTGAGCTTTCCTATACAAAGTTGATATTCTCATCTGGCTTTGCTCTGAAGAATTGTTGGCATTTAATATTTTGATGAAAAGGCATAACTGGATTGTTACAAACTGCAACTGATTTTGTTTTGTTGTCTTGTTGTTTTGATCTTAGCTGCCGACATATCCAGCTTCGATGTTCCCTGGTGATTACAACGGGGAAGGGATGAGCCTTGTCCTGTATTTTAGACTATCTGAGAATTTCGACGAAGAGATATCTCCTCATTTTAAATGCTGCATCAGGGTATCTTTTCCATCACTTCAATCAAGTTTTATAAATACTTTGGATATTCGAAAATGTTTGATGTTCTTACCAATATTGTTGAATAGGAAATGAATTTGATCCTTCCTATTTGTAACCTCCTGTGTTATAAAAGTATTTGTCGTTCCATTATAATATTTGCATGCTGGTTTTGTTCATCAGAGGCTAATTGATGATGAAATGGAAAAAGTGAAAGGATTCACAAGAGAATCCTTGGTTCCTTTCAGAGAAAGGTTGAAGATAGTGGGTGGGTTGGTTAATCCTGAAGATCTCCAGTTAAGTGCTACGGAAAGAAAGCTAGTTAGTTCTTATAATGAAAAGCCAGTTCTTTCGCGACCTCAACACAACTTCTTCAGGGTAAAACGAATTCCACTTTTTGGAGTCAATTCTGGTATGACCATAATAGAGATTGATTTGGGTAATGGGTGCTGCTATTTCAGGGACAAAATTACTTTGAGATTGATTTGGATATACATAGGTTCAGCTATATATCAAGGAAAGGTCTCGAATCGTTCCGTGATCGTTTGAAACATGGGATACTGGACATTGGATTAACAATCGAGGTACTATTCAAGCTTCTCGAATCTAGTTCATAAGTTCATATTACTAATAAGCATGATTGTTTTGAGTTGTGGCAGGCACAGAAACCTGAAGAACTGCCTGAGCAAATGTTGTGCTGCCTGCGCTTGAACAAGATCGACTTTGTAAACCGGGGGCAGGTGCCTACAATAATGACTGTAGGTGAAAGTTGAGAGAGGTGAGAATGGTGGGGGAAGGCAGCACTCCTGCGCGCGCATCAGGAAAAGACAGAAATGCGCAAGGCCATTGCAAAGAAAGGAGAGGCAATTTGATAGGGATCTTAGAAAGCTTTTGGTGAGTGCTAAAGAGATTGATTATATAATGTTTATTACAATTCTTTCTTAGGTGCAATCAAATTGAGAGCGAAGTCTATGTGTTTCTTATGGTGGGGATGTAAGTATTTATATCACACAACTGTTGATGGTAAGATTTTTATAACAAAACAATCGATATTCATATGGTCGGATTTTGCAGGAATTCACTACATTTTGCTTTTATTGGATACCACTAATTCTTTTTCCTTTTCTTTTTTTCTTTCCGACAAATATATATATCTTAGAATCAAATTTGAGGGTATTATAAGATCATTCGTTCTTTAACCATTCAATTTTTTTAAAAAAGTTATGCAACATAATTTATTTATTTATATTTTTTAAATTTTGTCTTTAAATTGAACTCAGAAATTATATAAACATGGTGACTTCCTTGGTTTTGTGGTAGTAACCAACCAGAGAATTGTGTTGTTTTTCCAGAGGATTTAGAGTATCCTGTTCATAGCGTTTTTAGCATGCATGTAGTAATAATAAGATGAACCACTTTAAGTTAAAAAATAAAAAAATGAATATGAGAATAAAACTCTGAACCCTATCCATTCCACGAACATAAGCTATGCCAATCCCACGTCCCCATAATTTTCCACTTTTCCCTATCCCCTTCTCCAATGGGTTACTGAAGCTTCAAATCCCCGAAAATGGCGACTCCGAATCCAACTTCCATGGCGTTATCTTCTTCCTCCTCCAATTTCCTTTCCCTTCCCCGCACTGCAACATGCATTTCATTCCCACTGAAGCGCCCGCTTCTCCATCCCAAGCCGCGCCTCTCTCTAAATTCCCTCGCCTCTCCGGATTTAGACCCCTCCTTGCCCTCAAACGTTCACACCTTCTGGGAGTGGCTTCGCCAGGAGGGTCTGGTCTCCTCCAAGACTCACGTGAAGCCAGCGATTTTCCCCGAAGGCCTCGGCCTGGCCACCACCAAAGACCTATCCAAGAACGAGGTCGTTTTGGAGGTTCCCAAGCGGTTCTGGATCAACCCCGACGCGGTTGCTAATTCTGAAATTGGCAATGTCTGCAGTGGATTGAAGCCGTGGATTTCTGTTGCTCTGTTTCTGATTAGAGAGAATTTCAAGGAGGATTCGCGTTGGCGACGGTACCTAGATATTCTCCCTCAGGAAACAGATTCCACTGTGTTTTGGTGCGTTTTTGGCTTCCTTCTTACTGTTTAATCTGTGCTCCTTGTTGTGATGTGTTTTCTTCATTGTGGAGTTGATGGAGTGCTTGTCTTGATGCTTTCAGTGCAGGTCTGAAGAGGAGCTTGCGGAGCTCCAAGGTTCGTGTGTCTTATATTTGCAATTTTGGTCTCTCTATTTCCCAACCCAAATTGGTTGTAGCTAGAGCACCGAAATTAATACAAAACTTGAATTTGTTTGGGAGGAGAATGAAACACCCTTTAGGAGGCTGAGTGCCGAAGGGAGTAGACATGAGGTGATGTGCCAGCAAGAACGCTGGGCCTCGAAGAAGGTGGATTTGGTGGGGTCCTACATCAATGGTAGAAAGGATGAGTGCCAGCAGGGCCTCAAAGGAGGGTGAATTATGAGATCCCACATCGGTTGAGGAGGAGAACGAAACATCCTTACGAAGGGTGTGGAAACCTCTTCCTACGTTTTAAAAACCTTGAGGGGGCTTGGAAGGGAAAGCCCAAAGAGGACCATATCTACTAGCGGTGGGCTTGGACAAGGGTTAACTCAAGGTAGTAATGTGTATGCAGTACTTGTGTGCTAAATTCTTATGAAAAAATTAGGATTAGGAAGGAGAAATGTGTTACTGGTCGTTAGATCAGTTTGGTGTTTTCATCATGAAGATCACTCCTAACTCTTTATAATTATCCGTATATAGTTGCTTACCACATTCTTGCTTCGCGAACATTTCAGGAACCCAACTTCTGAGTACGACTTTGAATGTAAAAGAATATGTTAAGAGCGAGTTTCATAAGGTTGAAGAGATAATACTCCGCCACAAAGATCTATTTCCTACTCCAATTACACTGGATGACTTCTTTTGGGCTTTTGGGATACTCAGATCAAGAGCATTTTCACGACTCAGAGGCCAAAACCTTGTTTTGATCCCTTTCGCGGACTTGGTTAGATCTGTACTCTTACTTGATTAAGTTATTATTGTCATTGAAATTTTATGCATACAATACAAGCAGCGCCGGCGCGAAGTTGCTTCGACCCGCATTAAACGCCGGGCCGCTTGTTGAAGATAAAAGTACATTGAACCCATATGAAGTTTTACCATGAGCAGATTGAATCCATTGGACAAAAATGGGTTCGGTTAAGATTTGTTTCTCCGGAGTACCAAAAGCAATCATGACATCATTATGAACATAAAGCCCCAAAGTATGGAACCCCAGAAAAAGGCTGGCCCAACTTAAATGGGATATGATAGCTTCTTTATGGTCTAACATTCTTGCCAATACATTATCTTCATTCTGTTCTGGATTGTACTCTCTAATAAAAAATATAGCTCCATGAGCCAAAGCTCTTGTCATAATGAATCCTGCAATGTATTGGTGATGGGTATGGTTTAAAGGTTGAGTCGATCCATAAATTTCATACTTAAATTGTTTTGAAAGTTTAGGATCACTGAGCATTAAAGTTTAGAGACCATAAGAAGATTTAAATCAACAAATTGTTACATCTAAACCTTGTATCATGGATTAGTTTTATCTTTCCTATCTTTTACAATAACATTTACACATAATGAATCATTGTACAAAAGAACTATTTTTTATTCTTGTCTTCAGACAAAATCTAACTCCCGTCAAACACATTTCATATTTGATCAGGTCAACCATAGTGCTGATGTAACCTCAGAAGAACATGCATGGGAGGTTAAGGGACCAGCAGGTCTCTTCTCATGGGATATCCTATTCTCTCTCCGGTCCCCAATTTCTGTGAAGGCTGGCGAGCAGGTGAAGAACTAATTTTTATATTCATGTACCTGGGTGACATAACTGATCACATAGTTGGAGTAGAATGTTCTTGTTCGCTTGTTGAACGTTTTATTCTTAAACTGGGATTTACTTGCAGCAGTGAATAAAACGTGTGTTAGGTGTAAGATATTTAGATTAAGGGGCATTTCATTTTGATCTTCTGATAAGTAAATTGATGGTTAATTTGCATTTTACTCTAAATTCTAAATATGGGATAGTGGAAGTTTTTAGGGATCAAGTAGAAAGTAAGATTAAAACATAAAGGACTTCAAAAGGATGTGAAATGAATTTCAGAAGGGCACGACGTGGACAGGAAGTGTCAATCTATCTTGGGTTAAAGCCATTTCTCGTAGGTACCGCAGCTTTCTAGTTTCCAAACATAAAGAACCAAAAATGTAATTTGGCCTATACTCTATGCCGGAAGTGTTAGAAATAGAGAGATTAATGATATTTTGAAAGTGCATTTACCTGGAAATTTTTACTGTATGTTCAACAGGTTTTTATCCAATATGACTTGAAAAAGAGCAATGCCGACCTAGCTCTTGACTATGGGTTCGTAGAGTCAAAACCTGACCGCAATGCATATACACTGACGTTAGAGATCCCAGAGTCGGACCCTTTTTATGATGACAAGCTGGATATTGCAGAGACTAATGGTCTTGGTGAGACTGCATATTTTGACATTGTTTTGGACCGTCCTTTTCCTGATGCAATGCTTCCATTCCTGCGGTTGCTAGCGCTTGGAGGCACCGATGCATTCCTCTTGGAATCCTTATTTAGAAACTCAATCTGGGGCCATCTTGAAATGCCTGTAAGTCGAGCAAATGAAGAGTTTGTGTGTCAAGTGGTCAGAAATGCTTGTGAGGTTGCTCTTTCTGGTTACCGCACCACTTTAGAAGAGGTAGACCGTCAAATCTTCATTCATCTATTATGCATTTATCATACATTCATGTTGAATATTTACTCATTGCAATACATGAACTCATTCCCGTTTGCCATATCCATGAATTATTTTAAGCATCTTCAAGTAATTTGTGTGCTCCGAGATGTTTATTATGATCCGAATCTTATAGAATCCGATACTTTACCCTGGCTTTCGATCTCGCATCTCCTAATGATTTCTTTAGAAATCAATTTTTTAGTCCTACCATGTTATAAGTTTTAATTTCTAAACTCCAGTACTTGGTCTCTATATAAACCTCATTGGACAAGGATGATGAATTGCAGGATGAGAAGCTAAAAGAAGAAAAGCTTGATTCAAGACTGAGGATTGCTGTTGGAATAAGAGAAGGGGAGAAAAGGGTATTGCAGCAAATAATCAAAATTTTCAAAGACAGGGAACTGGAATTAGATGAATTGGAATATTACCAAGAAAGGAGGCTAAAGGATCTTGGGCTATGTGGGGAGCAAGGTGAAATTATCTTTTGGGAGTCCAAATAGGAATCCCCCATTCATTAATGGCTACCCAGAAATGAAGAAGGTTCAAATACATGCGGCTTTCAACACTTCGGCCATTGACAAGAATGGGATGTTCAAGTAAGCTCTGTATTTTAATTAACCAGTATCTATTAATAATAGGTGTTGATATATTCTTCATTATATTCATATCATATCATATCATATCAGCTTACATATCCGTATCATGCAAACATATGGAACATTGGGCTTAGTTAGTTAGTACAAAAATAAAATTCTAAATTTTAGAAGTATCAAAATGAATGGCACTAATGTGGTCTATTTATATGCGAAATATAAATTATATCGATCATCCAACTTATTTTTAGATAATAACCAGAAGTTGGTCGAGAGCGGGAGTGGATCTAGAGCAGGTGCAAAAGAGAACCAAACCTTGTGTTGAGAGCCCCCATCGATTGTGTGTTAGTTTAGTCTTGATATTATTTTTGTAATCGGTTTCCTTTTTATATTTGAACTTAAAACACTATTTTGAATGTTATAAATATATATTGTATGTATGTTTTATATCTCCCAGGTCTTTTTAAAAAAGCAAAAAAAATCTACCTAGTTGAATCAATCAAAGTCATGATTTATGCTTCAAATAGTTATGAAGTTGGGTTTTGACCGACAAAAGAACTTAGTCTATGATTGGATCATAAGAAAATTTATCATTAGAGGATAAATGATACTTAAGGTATATGATGTAATTATAAGGTAGAACAATTTTTGGCCCAGCTATGATTACGAAAACCTCATAAAGGATCGACTTTCTTGTAGTTATTATATCCATGCACACAACTTATACAACAATCAAATGCAACTTTAGGTTTATAGTAAATTGACATATAATTAATGAATTAAAGTTAATGCAACTCTAGGTTTATAGTAAATTGATATATAATTAATGAATTAAATGATAAGTTGATAATTAAAGAGTTTAATTAATTAACTTATTAGAGTTATAAGTTAGATAATTAAAGAGTTTAATTAATCTTATAATAAGTTGATAATTAAAGAGTTTAATTAATTAACTTTATATTAGAGTTATTATAATTAATATGTATATAATGTCTCTGTGTGAAGTTCACACTTAATACAATAAAAAATTTCACACTTAATACAATAAAAAAGAAACCTTAATTTTGGATGGAATGTTAATATTTTGTTTATAAAATACATTTGAACTTTTAAAATGAAAAATATCTTTTAATTTAAAAAGTATTTTAAAAATAATGTTTTGTTTCAAAATTTTCATTAATATCTACTTCAAAAGAATTCAAAATTTTTTAAAAACTTTTTAAAAACATTAAAAATAACTTTATTGTAAATACTTAATACCACGTTTCAAAAGAATTTTTTTTTTTTTTTTTTTTTTTATAAACTTTCAAGGAACATTAAAACATTTGTAGATGAGTATGAGGTATTGATAGACGGTTTTCATCTATATATTGACGGTAATAATTTTTAAAGGTAAAGGTAAAGGGGGTTAATACTACTATTAAAATTTCATGGGTATTTTTTGAATATAGTAGTAACAATAAAAATATTCTTGAACTTTTAAAAAAATGTTGAAGGGTATTAATAAAACTCTTTAAACTTCACCGTGGTGTTCGTAGCCACGTGCTCTAATCCTCTGAGCTACAGGCCTCACCCCGTCTCTACTGGATCTGTTCGTGGGGGTATCTAAAAAAAGGAACCTTTTCTCTCCCCAGCCATTTGTCATTTCGGGTTAAGAAGATGTGAAAGCGCCTCTCTCTCTACAAGAACAGTGGGTTCCAAGGTGTGAAGTGGGAGAGAAGTATAAAACTTTTTAAACTTCAAGTACTATTAAAAAATGTAAGGGTACTTTTCCATCTAAAACTAATAGTAATGTTATTTATTTTTATTTTTTTTTAAAGTTTGAGGTATTATTGAAATTTTTAAAAGTTTAAGAGTTTTTATTTATTAATATAGCCCATCTATTAATGAGAAAAGTATATTTAATTTGAATGGTCCAAATTAAATATTAATCATCAATCGTGAGTCAACTACTTGTGTAGTCCCTGATCATCTATCAGGATCTGTTTACGAAATTGCGACTTCCTCCTTGTCCCATTTCTACACTCCTAGAAGCACTCCCATGTGATGTCTGTCCATGTAGTCCCTAGTCTCTTTCAAGATTGGTTTCTGGAGTCGTGACGTTAGTCTTAACCCATTCCTATAATCAATAGACATGTTCACCTAAACATCTAAACATATTTACATGTGTAGTCCCTAGTCCCTCTTCAGAACTGGTTTACAAGGTCGCGACGTGAGCCTTAACTCGTTTCTACACACAATAGAGATACCCCCTCATACTATCTAATCATGTAGTCGCTAATCTATCTTTGTGACTGATTTACGAATTTTCAACTTTTACCTTTATCTGTTTCTACACTCAATAGATAAACTTACCACTCATGTAGTCAATAATCTCTCTTCTAGACCGGTTTACTGAATTGTGGCTTCCGCCCCTCATTCGTTTTGACAATTAATGGTCTTAGGAGTTTTGGGTGACGTTGTTCACCCTACTACCAAGCTTATTGGTTTTTTTTTTTTTTTTTTTTTTTTTTTTTTTTTTTTTTTTTTTTTNTCTAATCATGTAGTCGCTAATCTATCTTTGTGACTGATTTACGAATTTTCAACTTTTACCTTTATCTGTTTCTACACTCAATAGATAAACTTACCACTCATGTAGTCAATAATCTCTCTTCTAGACCGGTTTACTGAATTGTGGCTTCCGCCCCTCATTCGTTTTGACAATTAATGGTCTTAGGAGTTTTGGGTGACGTTGTTCACCCTACTACCAAGCTTATTGGTTTTTTTTTTTTTTTTTTCTTTTTTTCTTTTCTCTTTTCTCTGTGAAGTCTACTAGGTTCTTTAGGCATCTAGGTGATTTATATCTTGTCTCTCATTTCTAGGATGTTTGGGACTAACTTCTCAGGGCTAATCCACCATCTGGGTGCACTCGAGTCTATACATCTGATCTCCGCTCACGATCCTATGGTACTTGATCAACTAAAAATGTACTCACTTAAATCAACTATAAAACCGCTCTAGCTCTGGTACCCTAAACTTAATTTGATCCATGCATGTTTTGCTATAGAGATATTTTATTGATCACCTAAAGCATGAAAATCTTATTCTAAACATTCATCAACTAAGCACAAAATTACATAATTCATACATGCATTCACTTGAATCTAGCGTACAATTTAGCATGGAATTCAAACATGCTCAATGGGTGATAACGTCCCTCAAACACCAAGAGCACACGTCACAAGATTTTCCTTCCTCCTTTCTAGCATAGTGGAAAACATTAAATATGCTTATTTCATCAATTCTCCTTTTAGGGGTATTTTTGTAATTTTTCATATTATACATTGTCTTTCATTCATAACTTTCCATTGGAGTCTTAAACATGCAAATTCTATCCGCCTAAGGTAAGATATGCTTGACGCATGTATTCTGAGTATTAATTACCTAAAGTCTATGTAGCTACTTACATGGATGATGCATGTATTCTCGAGCTAGATTTTCAGCCACTAGATTTCTAAATTACACTAGTATGTTATAATTTATGTAAAATTAAGGAATATCAAAATTGGGATGAAAATTGACAAACGGAGGCTGAATGAAAAAAAAAGATGTACTCATAAAGACGGGTAAATTTTTCATGAAATAAAATAAAAATAATTTAAAAACATAATATACATTATATTATACCAAAATAAATTTACTACAATAGTAGTTAAATTGCGCTTATATTCATCCTGGTAGGAATTGGGTTCAAGCTTTCCCTAGCCCTTTCTCATCAATGAATGCCTGATGTATACGAAGGAGTGTGGTTCGTTCGATAAATTCCTACCTCTCTATCAATATTTGAGATGTTTGGATTTTTCAAAACTTCATGGACATACAGAAGAGAAATACTATCCCCACTCAGACCAAGTCATAACTTTTACTTGTTCAAATAACAATTAAGATGAAGCACGATCAGGAACAACAAATCTCTTTATGATAAACAAAATCATTTTGCAAGTTCGTTATTATGGGTAGTTCCTACAAATGATCGAACTAATGACGTATACAATACTTGAATTCGCGATGTAGATGCTACATAGTTGGTTCTAATACTTCAGAGACTACGAGTGTAATAGGAGCATCCGTTGAAAAAAGGATCACCCTAAGATGATTATCACATGGCTATTGAGAACTAATCATTGTAGGGATGGAGTAATATTTTAAGTAATAAACGACTCCTCTGAAAACTTTTTCCTATTTCTTTTTATGTAGTTAAGACACATAATATTAAAAATAAAAAATAAGGAACATACACAAAATATTTAAAACAAAAGGGGGTAGAGGACGATGTGTGAGGCTTGTCTATAGCACATGCTCCAGAGTTCGCTCCCGACCTCGATAGGCCCTTGTTTACCTGAAAAACATGGAATGAGTATAAAGACTCAGTAAGTAGCCTACTTGTAGGCACTTAATCGTGTTCTTGATATGCTAGAGTATCACACTCTTTATTTTATTGTTCTTGTTGTAAGTACTTAGGCCCTTTAGTTATGTTCTTGACTTGTGGGGTTTATATCATAATCTATCCTGAGGACCTTCGTTCTTGAATTATGAAATCTTGGTTTTGTTCTAAGGGCCTTAGTACCATGGTCGTTTGTTCTTGTCCTTAGGAATTGGATCTTGATCCATATTCTAGTTCTTGATCGTTGTCTTATTTTTTGTTGTTCTGTTCTTGGTTCGTTCTCTAAGACAATCCCTTTAGGATTTATGGTACTAGTCATGAAGCTGAAAACCTGTGTCTAAGGCTTCCTACTTTCCAAGCGATAGAGTCTTAACCTACGTCCAAGGTTTCATGTGTTCCATGCGATGTAGTCTGAACCTGCACATAGGGTTTGCCCTGCGATACAATTTGAAAACCTAGGCCCAAGGTTTCACGCGTTCCAAGCGGCATAGTTTGAAAACCTATATCTAAGGCTTCTTACATTCCAAGCGATGAAGTCTAATCCTGCATCTAGAGTCTAAAAAGTCATATGCACCCATCATATTAATCGGCCTGAGTTATTTTAAAAAGTTATAGATTTATAATGAATTCTTTAGAAGGTTCTAGAATTGTCTTGAGTCTTG